AAATAAATCTTTAAAAAAACATTTCTGTATTTGTTGTTACTCCCTTTTATTCTGCTTAATTTCTGTGTATGTTTTCCCTTGATTACTTTTGCTAATGGTTTATCAATTTATTGCATGTCCCCTTACTTCTGAAAAATCCCAGCTCTTATACTTATTTAACATTTATATATGTGTGTGTGTGTGTGTGTGTGTGTATTTACTATTTCTAAATAGAGTGGTTTTTAACCACTAAGTTGTGCTGTGAAACCCTTTTGAAAACTAAAATCACATGTGAAATCCCACTGTTTAAATCGATAGAAGCCAGGTGCTGATGATGGAAGCAAAGGAAAGGGAGGGGGAGGGAGGGAGTTTCCCAGAGTCCCACTCGCTTGACTTCCCCCCACTCCTTCTGTTCCTTATCAGCCACTTACGACTCCAGAGAGCACTGTTAGACAGCCTCTGTTCTGATTTATTCATTCTGCTTTTATCTTTATTGTTTCCTTCCCCTTATTTTCTATAGGCTTGTTTTATTGCCCTTTTTTGATTCCTCGAGTTGGATGCTTATTGCATTTATTTTCATTCTTTCTTATTTAATATTGTAACTATTGAAGTCTATGAATTTGTCACTCTGTACAATGCTGGTTATATATTATAATATTTTATACAGGTTATTTTCTCAATAGGAGGTAATTATAGTTTTGAATTTCTCCTTTGATTTACAGTATATATAGGGGTGTGCTTTAACTTATTTTGCTGATTTTACAGCATCGCTGCCTTTTTCTTTCTGTAGCTCCTGGAAAGGCTTTTCTTCAGGAAAGACTGTAGGTGGTAGACATTCATAGTCACAAATGTTTGAAAATATTTTTCTGGTCTCATTCTATGTAACCAACATCTTGGCTATATTAAGAATTTTTTAGCCTTTTTTTTTTCCTTTGAAGCTCTGTTAAAATTCCATCTTCTGATGTTTATTTTGTGGAGAGGCCATTTTGCCTCTAGTTTCATAGGTAATATTTACTGAGGTTTTTTTTTTAATCTCCTTGTAATTTGTAAGTTCATATTCATCCATTTATTTATTTAATGTATCTGTAAATGCATTTTATACATTTTTAGTATCTTCATTGAGATATAGTACATATATTATACAAACCACCCATTTAAAGTATACAATTTAGTGGATTTTCATATATTCACAGAGTTCTGCAGTCATCACAACAATACATTTTGGAACAATTTCATCCTCTTAAAGGGAACCAAGACCTCTTAGTTTTTACCCCCAGCTGCCTCCCTCACCCCACAGCCCTAGGCATACTTTATACCTCTATAGATTTACCTTATATGTATATTTCATATCAAGGGAATAATATGATATGTGGCCTTTATGACTTGCTTCTTTTGCTGAGATAATGAATTCAGACTTATTTATATGTAACATGTATCAATATTTCATTTTTTATTGCTGAATAATATTCTATCATTCAGATATATCCTGTTTTATTTAGCCATTCAGCAGTTGATGGATATTTGGGCTGTTTCCTTATATTGGTTACTCAGAATAATGCTGCTGTGAACATTTTTTTTAACATGTATTTTTGGTATATATATTTAGTAGTGAAATTGCTGGTTCATATGGTAACACTCAGTTTACCCTGTTAAGGAACTGTAAGCTTGTTTTACAAAACAGCTGCACCATTTTACATTCCCACCAGCAATGTATGAAGGGTCCATCTTCAACAACATTCATCATTGTCTGTCTCTGTAGTATCTCATGGTGGTTTTAATTTCCAGTTTCCTGATGACATTTGCTGTTGACTGTCTTCTCGTGCTTATTGGCCATTTGTGTGTTTTCCTTGGATAAGTGTCTATTTAGATATTTTGCTTATTTTAAAATTGGGTCATTTGTCTTTTTATTACTGAGTTATGTAAGAGTTCTTTATTCTACATAGAAGTCTCCTTTCAGCTATGTGATTTGCAGTTTTTTTCCTGTTCTGTGGGTTGTCTTTTCATTTTCATGATGGCATCCTTTGAAGCACAATAGCTTTTAAAACTTTTGATATTCAAGTTATTGCTTCCTTTATTGCTTGTTCTTTTGGCATCATATTCCAAACTGAAACTGTCACCACTTTCTCATTGTTAGTGTTAAGGAAAACCCATTAAGTGATATATGCAGTAAATATGTGACTTAGGTCTCGGAACTTGATGGACTTCTGTGAAAATTTCGGCTTCATCAAAAGTTCTGGTGATAGCTATCTAGGCTTTTTTGTTTGATATAGTTGATTGGTGTGGATGGAAAACACCTTTTTAAATGTGACTGTGTAACCCAACTGTGTAAAGTCACAGCATTATTTGGTAGTCTATATGATACAATTTCATATTACAGGCACTATTTTTAGTATTTTTAGAAGTAGAAAATTTTCGCTCACATATCTATATGTTTTAAGGATGATAACCCTTTTATACAAAATATAGTATATAGCTAGTATTCCTGGCAATTATAATCATTATCAATGTACTTTGTCTTTGAAAATTTGTAGATTCCCCAATTTCCTTCAATACCATGATTTGTTTCATATATATATACACACACACATATGTATATATATAATATTTCCCATCATGTTCCTGTTTTATAATGCATGTTCACATTAATTGCCATTTCCTTTTCTTGGACACATTTTTATTTTCCATTTGAGTTCCTTCATTTGGTTGCATTGTCATTTTCATTGATGATGCATCTGCTAATTAATTTTTCTCCTTTGAATGCCTGCCCTTTTTGTTCTTGGTTTTGTAGTTCAGCTCTATTTTTTATTTCAGCTCTATTTATTGGAATTTCTTTCTGTTGGCCTGTGTCCTTCCTTGACTTGCTGGTAATATTTATATATTTAGGAAGTTGACAGTCAGTCTATCTTTTGCTACTAGTGATCATTCATATTTAAATATTCCTTTTAAAATGCTATCAAAAATAGTTACTTCTTGTGGCTAATATATCTATTTGTATTAGCTTTAAAATCCATAAAAAGGTCCTGGATTATCAGGAAGTCTTAACCTATATGCATATATTAAATATTTTTTTATTCTGGTAAAACATACATACCATAAATATTGGCATTTAAACATTATTAAGTTCTGTAGCATTCATATTGTTTGGTAACCTTAAAGTTTTTAAATAGAAGGTAACACCTGTTTCTTAATCCTTCAGATTTGCCTCTTTCTCCCTTAACACTTCTTTTCTCTTGATCAACTTTCCTTTTCTTTTCTTTTAGATACTGCAGAGTTCCTGGCAGAAGGTTTACGTAATGAGAACCTCAGTGCTGGTGCAAAGGACCACAGAGACCACATTCTACGGGGCTTCCAGCAAATCAAAGCTAGGTTTGTTTAAACCAGTTCCTTTATTCTTCATAGCTTTGAAACAATTTCAGTAAACTCTACTCTACTGATAGAACATACCTAGCATAGTTTTTTATACATGATAGAGACTTAGTCAGTATTTACTGAATTGAATCAGAGCCTAGATAAGATTACCAGTGTAGAAATGTTTTGATGATTATATATCTTTAAATAATTCTGCTTTTTGCTTTGGATTGTTATGTTGGTCTTATATTGAACACTTATACAGGTGTACATTAGATATATGAAAAGCTGAAACATTTATGTTTGTCTAAATTACTAAAGGGAAGACATTAGAGGCAGTAAGAAATAATTTTCCTTGTGAATATTTTTTAGTCTTGATTTTATTTCCACATCGTCTTCCTGAATAGAAAACTTAAAATGAGACTGGTCCAGGTGATCTTTTGACCATATTGGAATGTTTTCATCTCAGGCTGGATTGAATTATCTTGCTTCTTAAATGTTTTTAATTAGAGGCCCTGACCTAATGTATAACTTCTAGAATGTGGATGTCTGATCAGTGTATACACTTGTTTGGGAGAGAAGAAATAAAGTTTTTGTGTTTTTATTTTTTCCTTAAAGATATATTTCTCAACTAACTCTTGGTTGAAATGTGCTATCTGAATGAGAGTTTGGGATAAGTGAGTGTTACTTTAAGCCTTTTCCAAACTGGTGGTGATGTGATTCAAATTCAGTCCTCTTAGAAAAGGGAGAAGAACAAGTGTAGTTTATCAGTAGAATTTTATTTGTGCAGCTTATCATCCTATTTTAAAACCACATTGAAATGCCTTAGATGTGAGCATTTTTATCCTTCGCAAGGGCACAGTCAGAATCTACTCAATGTGAGAGAATCTCACAAGATACCCTGCTGGATCTTAATCGATCTTTCCTGCTGGCTAATTAAGCATCACTTTTTACTCAGCAACTGGGGACTGTGTAATTATCAGCCTGGGTTGCCCTGAATAATTGAAACAAACAGAATGCAGAAGATGGGAGCGTTTTGCAAAAGTGAGACCATCTATAATTTTTGGTAGACTCAAAGAGTACTTAAAACAAACTTCTGCATAATGTTATTTCATTAATAGATTTAAGTGTAGGCTTAGTTGTACTTGAAAGCCTAGTTAGTAACCCATGGATTTTACGACTGCTTGATCCTTGTATTACAAAAGTACTATGACAATGGCATGAGGAATAAAGGTAAAATTATTTTAGTAAATATAATTGTTTGGTGCTACTGGTATAAATCCATAAGAAGGGATGCAAAATCAATTTTACTGCATTGTAGGGGCAATTACACAATAAGCAATTCTCCCCTCCCAAGTTTGTACTAGAGTATTTGAAAAAGGATACATTTCAATATGAAATTGGTAATAAATGGTGACTTTGCGGTGACTCATAGTTATCAGTTGTATATTACTTTTCAGTCTTCTTAAAATGCCACCTCCCACCCCATGCACATCCATGCAGGCAGACACAGAGGTGACATTTGTTATGGGGTAGAGAGGGGTCCTTGTTGTCAAAGAACTTGCTGTGTGGTTTGTGGGATAGACATGCAGGAAATAATCAGCAGGAGCCTTAGGAAACATCTGCATTGTTGATGGGAGCTTTCTGTTCATTGATTTGTTGCAAGAAAGATGACACTTTATTTAGAATTGCATAATTATCAGATCACAGAGGAAATGAGGAGCCAGAAATTAGATACTGTACAAGAAAATGGAAAAATGAGGCTTTCCTTTGGCAAGCTGTTTGAAATTGCTTTGCATCCACCCATTCAATCATAATCCTGTTAAGGTAACCCTTGTTTTACTGAATTCTCTTCTTCAGCCGTGTTACTTCTAGATCCCAATTATGACTGGTCAACTTATACACATTTATCTATTGATATCAATTGGTTTGAAAGATTGTACAATGCCAGCCATATTTACTTTTGTTGAGTGATCATTGTAGCTCCCTCCAAAATTTGGGTGTGCAAAGAAATGGTAAGTCATCAACTTGAGAGTAAAATGCATGTGACGAGTTGAGGGGTAGCATGAAAAGAATTGCTGAGAGTCCTTTTACAAGTTTTCTCTTCTGTCATATTAAAACACTAATATTTTGTAGGATTGGTATTATTTGGGAGGTAGGAATTAACCTGAAACTATAATTTATCACATCAGGACTTATTTGGAAGGTAAGTAAGAAATACCTGGGTAAACCACTAGGTAAATAGAAATGCCTTACAGGATAGAAGTCATCCTACTATGGCAGCACCCTGCCCGCCGCTGCCTATGCAGGTGCTCCTTTTTGCCAATTCTCTGTCCCTCCGCAGGGCAGCAGCCTCCTGCCTGCCAGTGACCTGTACCTGCCTGGGCTTCTCTGCACTGACCTCCCCCAGTAGAGACAGCTTCCTCAGGGCCACCCGCCTGCGACTTCTCAGCAGGCTTCTCAGCAATCCTGTTCCTTTTTGGACAGCTCTTTCTGCCCACTTGTGCCTATGCAAGTGTCTTTATTCTCCCCCTTTTGTAATAAATCTGCCCTTTTGGATCTCTTTCTCTCTACATATCTATATCGATATGGATGTAGATCTCTCTCTCTCTATCTATATATCTCTCTATATATTTGTAAAAATATATATATAAATATATTTATTTATAGCACACATACAACTTTCTACTTTGTTGTGTTTTGGCTTCAGTTCCTTTAATTTTTTTGCCTCAGTGTTGAGCTGTTTGAGTATGAAAGGGTGGAGAGAAGGGAAAATACTTCTGCCTTCGATTCTTGCTAAGCTCAAAGTATTGGCCCTAATTTTTATGGTGGCTCAGAGTTTAGTGGTGTTTGCCATGGTTGTGGACTTGCTGTAAATTAAAGTGTCTGGTTGTACTGCAGCTGGTATGATGTGCCATTTGCTACCTTCCTGCTGTCTAGAGTGACTGACCCTAGAAAATGATTGCTGTGTCAAGAGTCACCGGTGTCCTCCGAGGGCTCATCTGTTTTTTTCAGTACTGGTGGCTTATCTAGTACTAGAAGAGAGAATCTCCTCCTAGTCTTAAAAATAACAAAATCCTATTTGTATCTCTATCTAATTTTGGGACTTAAAAGTTACCAATGAAGGATAATGTTTGCCATGTAAGACAAATTAAGAAATGGATAGCAATTTCTGTGATGCCAAAGAATTAAGGAACTGAAGCCCTGTTGTGGTATTTGATATCCTAAGCTATGATGTTCATTGTTCTTCTTCAGATTGCCTCCTCATTTAAATCTTCTCTCTAAAAACTAACAGCTTTCACACTCTGAGTCCAGGTTTTCATTGAGCCCTTTAGAGGATGATTAGGATGAAAGCCAGGCAGAGGCTCCTCCTGTTTTATTATGTGGTCACTGCAGAGTCGATGCCAGATGTGAGACACCTGGAATGAAGCAGCCTTGATCTATACAGAGGCACGTGATGTGGCTCCCTGCATTTGGAGAGACAGTTAAGCATTTCTTAAACGTTTGATTCAGGGGAGGCCATCAGGCATCAAGAATACATTGAGAGTGAGGGAAGTGAAGAAGGGAAGAGAATATTCTTATTACTGAGGTGGGATAAATTCTCTTTTGATGGCCCTTTTTGAAACAACTAGTCATTTCCACTCACTGTTGGAAGCAAAGGCCAGAGCCTATGGAAACAAACTCAAAGTATTGTCTCCTCCTGTGAATATAAAAGGAATTCCAAAAACAGACAGGTAGATTTATAGCACATTGAATTGAAAAGAAATACAGATATAACTTTATATAAACTGGGTTATGGCACAAAGCATATATTTAAAGTACTGGCTGAAAGAAAATCTTGAATGTGTCTCAATTTGGGTGGTTGGCATGTAGTTCTGGATGAACCGTGATGCATTAGGACAAATCTCCTAAAATATGTCCCACTTTTTAGCTTAATATGGACTTACCTTTAGAACAGGAATTAACTTAAGGATATACCATCCTGATGTCTTTGTTTTAAAGGAAGAAAGACAGGCATTAGTTGGATGCAACTCTTAGGAACAAGTTTCAAAGTAGTATATTGTAAATATGATTACCATTAATTAGCTAGAGAGTTTTGCCTAAGTGCTTTTACCTAAGTGCTGGTTATCAAGGTTAAAAAGATTCAAAGCACATTCAAAGAAAACATATTAAGAGAGCTAATGTATTCCTTCAAATTGTAAAAGCAGCCCTAAGAAAAAAGGACAGAAATGGAGGTATCACATTTACTGACTGCAGACTTCATTATAAAGCAACCATATTAAAAACAATATGGCTTTGGCACAAATATAGATTCATGGATCATTGAACAAAATCAAAGCCCCAGAAATATATCCACACATATACCAGCACCTAATCTATGATAAAGCATCCATGACCATAAAATAAGACATCCCTTTAATAGATGGTGATGGGAAACTTAGAAAGCCACATGTAAAGAAATGAAGTTGAATTACTAGCCCTGTATACAAAAGTAACTTCCAAATGGATTAAAGACTTTGGCATGAGGCCTGCAGCAATATTAGAAAAGGAAACATTGGCAATCTGTTCCATAGTATCAATGGTAAAGATATCTTTGGTGACTCAAGTCCTATGGTAAATTCAATAAAAACAAAAGATAACACTTGGGATTACCTCAAGTTAAAAAGCTTCTGTTCAACAAAATAAATCACAAGACAATTAAATAGACACCCTATTGAATGGGAGAAAATACTCATACAATAGATAACCTGTAAGGAATTAATATCCAAGATATATTTAAATACACACACAATTCACCATTAAAAAGACAAATAATCCAACAACCATAGACCAGAGACATTCT